GGGGGGGGGGGGTCAACCAGACTCTGAAGTAACGGGGGGGCCGGTCTCAAAAGAGTTTTTTTGGCCCTTCGGGCATCATTTTGTTCTAAAAATAACGGGGGGGGGGCGCCCCCCCCGGCCCCCTCCCCTGGATCCGCCACTCGACTGCTACCATAGTCCCTCAGGATTGTCGCGCGGGCGAGCATGTTACGTGCGAGCGAGTGCGTTTGCTTTGCGCGCTGACAGGGAACATGCTCACCCGCGCGACAATCCTGAGGGACTGCTAATATTCCATCACCGTCTTTTAAGGTTGGTTACGAAAAAGTGAATTCATCACTCGAGCAACTCATAAACATTCGAGTAACTCTTTTTATAAGACTAGGGTTGTTCAGATACTAAAGTCTGAAAACACAAGTCACTTTTAGCTTTATCGCCCACCACTTGCCAGAATGCCGCGTTACGCTAAAGTTTTGAAGCTGCATACTCCTTCACCAAAGAAAGGACCCTTTCGAACTGAAAATTTGTGAAAATATTAGTTTAGCTACTTTCATACCTCATGAAAGGCATGACAGTGAAAACGCAGAAGAATTTAAATTAATTTTATAGACCGGAAGTTTGATATCGCCTAGTTCACACCAATATAGAGAGATCGTAAGGCGTTTTCAAAAACAAACGGGGAGAAGGTAAGAAATTCTGATGCCAGAAAGTGACGCCATTTTTTCCATTAACGCCGATTTGAGGTCAAGCCAATTCACGAAGTTACAGGGTCTCAGGGGCATCCTGATTCCCTGCATTCCCGCCACTTTTTCACGTTAATCCCACATCACGCATTTATTTTCACCACTTTCCCGGATCCCGGTTTTTGTTTCTAAAAAACGTACTTTAAAAAGACTAATTTTGCTACGAAAGCTAACAAATGAAAGATTTAGATTGGCCCTTTACGATGCCAAGGCCATTCCATAAAACAAAGCACTTTTTATATCTCAATACGACGAAAGAGCGCCATCTTTGTCCTGAACGTGTGCGTACTGACATCCAGTAGTTACTATCGAATAGTTAGCAACCCGTTTCCATGATTAAGTGTGTCAAACGGTATGGCATTTCTCGGAATGTTGCATTGTAATAACATTAAAGTTGTTTTCACACTAAAAACAACTTTAAGAGTCCTCGAGCTCTTCCTTGGTCTGTCACCTATCCTAAGGGACTCCTGCGAAAGACAAGCAAATCCAGACTCTCCCAACTGCTAGGGTGACGCATAACAGTCATCACGAAATACTCAGAGAACGTAGCCAGAAGTTCCGATGAATTGGAGCTTTGTTCCATGTGGTCTCTTAGGGCCTGTTTACATTGAGGTGGGGGACCACAGGTAGGTGAGGTAACCTGCTTAGGCGGGATAAAAAAATAACCCTCCTTTACATGCAATCTTGCAACCCCACCATCCCGGGGTGCACTTTCTCAAGATTATTGAATGGTCGCTAAGCACGTAAACAAGAAAAATGCTGGAAAAACAACGAGTTTTGGCCATTGATGCATTCTACACCCCCTTCGTGCTCTTGCTGCAACCTTTAGTGCAATGGCTTTCTATTGCTAACTTTAATAATGATGCAAAGCCACCGCCAAAGTGAATTTTGCGCGAATTTGATGTTTCACGAATCCGACCCCGGTCAGGCGGGTTACCCCACATTGAAACGTTTACATGGCAAAATTTGACCCCGGCTGAGAGGGTAACCCGGTCTGGTAGACCCGGCTACCCGCCTTAGGCAGGTCACCCCAGCTACCATGTAAATGAGATCAAATTAAAATGAGAGATTTTGTGGACAGGCGGGTTACCTCACCTACCTGGGGTCCCCCACCTCCATGTAAATAGGCCGTTTAGAGAGTTTGAAATGGTGGTATCTACCATCTTGGACAAAATAAGTGGAAAACCTAGACCCCTCTGCCCCCCAAATCAAGGATGGGAAAATGGCGCGTTTTTGCCCTTCGCGCGACTTCATCCTTGATTTGGGGGGGATGGGGGTTTGCTGTTCCATTTTATTTTGTCCAAGATTGTAGCACTGACCGGCAGTAGGCGCGTAGACGTAGTGCTGAAATCGTCAAATTACTCGTGCCACAGGGTAAAAATGAAGCATTCAAAAGCAGACTCGGCTACCGGAATCTGCGACTTTAGGAATGTAGAGGATTGATACAGATAAGCCGTACGTTCACTGGTGGAAAGCATTACTTTTGTTACCTGTTTTGCTGTGTCTTTCGTTAGTTTCGATATAGCAATTTAGACCCCGCTTGACGGGAAAACAAGTTGTATAACTCTTTCTGCAGCTCATGCGTAGGAACCTTTTTTCAGCGTATGATGTTTGAGACGCAAATGAAGTACATGTAAATATATCTTTATGTCAATTCTAATTTATACAAATTATATTTTCTTTTTTACATCGACACTAGTCATATGCTGTACTGCACTACTATGGCCAACGTGCACCGGGGAATTACTAATACTAAGAGCTCGGCGAATTTTGCTAACAGCAGGCCCGCGGCGACCCAGTTCTGATTTTCAATAGATACTTTTTCTAACGGTAAATCCACAGATGTACATTCGGTATGAGCGTGAAAAATGGACGACGATGAGTTTCAATTCATTTACCATTTAAATCACTTCAATCAGTTGAAATCCGTGTACTTTTATCTGTTTGTTGCAGTTTGTTCTGTTAAAAACTTTTGCTTCTTTATGCGATCGTCTGTTTACAGAGCCCTATAGCACGAGACAGGGAGTTCATTCTCAAATAATTTAAGTTATTTTCAAACCAGCGTTTGAAAGTGAAAATATAATGTTGTGATATGTAAACTGCGGCGTACCGGTTGCACTTGTCAGCTTATTAGGTTATTACTTTCTCTCTTTGTAATCACATGATCGTACGGTAATCAAACTTACGATAATCAAGCTACTAGTTACGTTTATCGCTGAACAAATATCCGCGGAAATCGGTATCGGGCCACCAGGCTTCCATGGACAGGGGGCCTGCTTTTAGCAAAACCCGTGTTAGGTGTAGGGCAGAATGTCTCCATTTTTAAGGTCAAGCCTTGCCAAACAATACCCTACTAAACTACTAAACTACGGTACTACGACCTACTTTCACCGCTGAATAACCTCTTTAAGTCAGGACTTGATACAATGCACTAATACGCGGCTACGGTCTTCCACCACCGGTCTTCCCAAGATTACTTTTTTCTTTCAAAATATTCACTGACAAAGAACACCACGACACTAGACACTACGTACGGAAGGAAAGTAGTTACTGCGAAGAAACTGCGGCGACAAAGTAATTTGACTTTGATTAGAAGATAGGAATTCAAGTATATACATAAATGAATTCTTTCTCAACATTCCCCTTAATTACCTACTAACAAAGAGAAGTCGTAAAAACATTGCTATACTACTGGATATTGCGAATTGTTTTTCAAATCCTTACCCACATTTCTCACAGGGTGTGAGTGGAGCACTACGCCAACAGGCGTTCTACAAATCTAAAGTTAATTATTCTTACATGACTACGTGAACGGTGGTTCTACTGACATAACCTTAGTTGACAGCTTCCACAACAGGACTACAAGAGAAGACAATTTCCTGAACTAATTTTATGGGCCGACCTTCTTGAGCAAGATGGCTAAAGCGTGCCGCTGATATTCCTTTGCTTGCTCGAGGTCTCCTAAGGCTTTGTAAATTGAAGCTAAGTTATTGAAGCTTGATGCAACAGAAGCATGTTCAGGGCCGAGCTTTTCAAGCTGGATGGCTAAAGCACGTTGCTGATACTCCTTGGCTTGTTCGAGGCCACCTAAGTCCTTGTAAATTGAAGCCAAATTATTGTAGCTTGTTGCAACATCAACGTGTTCAGAACCAAGCTTGGCTAGTCTAATCTCAAGAGCACGTAGCTGATACTCCTTGGCTTGCTCGGGGTAACCAACTTTCAGGTAAATAGAAGCTAAGTTATTGTAGCTTGATGCAACAGAAGCATGTTCCGGACCAAGCGTCTTGAGCTGGATGGCTAAAGCACGTTCCTGATACTCCTTGGATTGCTCGAGGTCACCATTGGCCATAAAAATTGAAGCTAAGTTACTATAGCTTGATGCGACAGAAACATGTTCCGGGCCAAGCTTCTCTAATTGGATAGCGAGAGAACGTTTCTGATACTCCATAGCTTGCTCAAGGTCACCTGAGGCCTTGGAAATTGAAGCTAAGTTATTGTAACTTGTTGCAACAGATACATTTTTCGGACCGACTTTCTTGATTTCGATGGCTAGAGCACGCCGCTGATACTTGTTGGCACTCTCGAGGTCACCTAAGGCCTTGAAAATTGAAGCTAAGTTGTTGTAATTTGTTGCAACAGAATAATGTTCTGGGCCGAGTTTCACGAGCAGGATTGCTAAAGCACGCTGTTGACACACCTTGGCTTGCTGGAGGTCTCCCAAGTTCAGGTAAACTAAAGCTAAGTTGCTGTAGCTTGATGCAACAGAAACATGTTTAGAGCCGAGCTTCTCGAGCTGGATAGCAAGAGCACGTTGCTGATATTTCTTGGCTTGCTCGAGATCACCTAATGCCAGGTGAATGGTAGCTAAATTATTGAAGCTTGTTGCAACGGAAACATCTTCCGGGCCTACCTTCCTGATTTCGATGTCTAGAGCACGTTGCTGATACTCCTTGGCTTGCACGAGGTCACCTAAGGCCAGGTAAATTGAAGCCAAGTTATTGTAGCTTGATGTAACAGAGGCATGTTCAGGGCCAAGCTTTTCGAGCTGGATGGCTAAAGCACGTTGCTGATACTCCTTGGCTTGCTGTACGTCACCAAAGGCTTTGAAAATGGAAGCTAAATTATTGTAGCTTGTTGCAACATCAACATGTTTCGGGCCAAGCGTGTGAAGTCTTATAGTTAGGGCACGTTCCTGAAGCTTCTTTGCTCGCTCGAGGTCACCTGATTCCAGGTAAATAGAAGCTAAATTATTGTAGCTTGATGCAACAGAAGCATGTTCCGGACCAAGCGTCTTGAGCTGGATGGCTAAAGCTCGTTGCTGATACTCCTCGGATTGCTCGAGGTCACCATTGGCCATAACAATTGAAGCTAAGTTACTATAGCTTGATGCAACAGAAACATGTTCCGGGCCAAGCTTCTGTAATTGGATAGTGAGAGAACGTTGTTGATACTCCATAGCTTGTCGAAGGTCACCTAAGTTCAAGTAAATTGAAGCCATATTACTGTAGCTTGTTGCAACAGAAACAGGTGCCGGGCCGAGCTTCTCGAGCTGGATAGCTAGAGCACGTTCCTGATACTCCCTTGCTTGCACAAGGTCACCTAACGCCATGTAAATTTTGGCTAATTTATTGTAGCTCCAGGTAACATCAACATGTTCAGGGCCCAGCCTGTCAATCTTTATAGAAAGAGAATATTCCAAATAAGCTTTTGCGACATAAAATTCGCAATGCATTTCGCAAATCTCTGCAAGGTTTTCGCATCTATCTGATAAGTCTTTACCATGAACTTGGAAAGAATTTTCGTTCACGAGCACTCTGTCAGCTAGCATGGTCAAAGCTTTCAAGTGTGGAACGATATGCATTGTTTCCAATCTTCTACTCACAAGTGGAACAGCATCTATAAATATGTCAAAAGATGTAATAACGCCATTTACGACCTGAGGGCTTTGACCTTCTGCAGTGCTATTTATCACATTTTTGATAGCATCATGCACAACTTGGTGCACACGTATGAAGTAACCATCTTGGTCATCTTCGAAAAGCAAAAGTGAGCATCTTCTCAATCTCGTGCATATTTGTTCCTTATCGGCTTCATCACATGTTTTCAGGACTTTTATGATGTAGCCAATTACTATGTCCACGTTTAATTGTTCAGGTGCGCAGAGGGAAAGGAAGGTGAAAATATGCTTCAAAAGTTCGTCAGATCTCATTAGTCTTTTGACAGCTAGGTTTATTGCTTCTGTCATTGACTTTGGGTAAGTTGGGTTCGTATATGCGAGTGTATCCTCTGACGTTTCTCTTTTACCTTCTTCTAACATCTTCAGGTATTCGTTCCAGCTAAAATGCGTCGAGTTTTTGGCCTGTCGAATCTCCTTGACAAAGAGAGCAGCGCCTGCTAAAGCAAGAGGTTGATAGTCCAGTTTTTGCGCCACTTTTGTCACTATCTCGTTATCTTGAATCCCCGAAAGCTTGACTAATAAGGAACAGGCATCGACTGGATCCATACCTTTGCTTACTGAGATATGATTTACGAAAGAACACATTGGAGGGATTGATTTCGTGTCCTGAGTTGTAATCAGCAACTGACCCTTCGCCCAAGCCGCATTTCCAAACTGTGATAGACGAAAATGTACAGATGACATAGTTGTGACATTGTCAACAACCAGTAGCCAAGACGTGTAACATCTGATTTTTATAGCAATCAGCATCTCAAGATGAGTGATCTTCTCCTCTACATTCCAGTCCTTGGAGCTGAGGATTTCCACGACAGAATAGTCTGGGCACTTTAACTGAAGAGCGAATGAGACATATGACTCCAAGAGTGAATCTGGACAAGCTGCATTTAAGGTCATCACAAATGAAGAACTGCCTGGGATTTCTTTGGCCTCGTCAAAGAACCTCTCAGCTACGAGGCCGGCTAACTGTGACTTTCCGCTTCCAGGATTCCCTGAGATGTATAAACAACTCAGTCTGTTGACAGTGGACTCCTTTAGCTTTCTCAGCTGCTGGGCTATTTCGGAGACTTCGCGTTCACGACCACCGATAGCGTGTGAAGGTTTTAGAGGGAGAATACAAAATGAGGGTGATTTTTTCCGCAGCTCATTTTCAAGGGCCTGGACCTGCGTCCGGACCTCCTGTTTAAGATCATCAACCTCTTTTAGCACTTCTTGTAATTCTTTTGTTGCAGGCATTCCCTGAATTTTGAGCTCTTGAATTTTTTCAGTGGGTAGACCAAGAGCTTGAAACGTCATATCAAATTTGCTAATGGCATTCTGAAAATCTCTGTCAGATAGCCTACCTTGTGTTAAATGAGCGAATTCTTGGTTCCTGAAACGTCTAAGATTATCCACATTATTCCTCACATTTGCGCTAAGGCTGGACCCAACACAATCGGAGGAAAGAATAGCGTAAAAAAGCATTGTACAATCCCATTCTCCTCTGTTTCCGTTTCGCATCGTGGCCAAAAGATGAGCATTTCTTCTTTGGTTTCGGGGAGACTCCCCGTCATAAAAATCCATTCCATTCCGAGGTTCGTCTTTCCATTCTCCTTTTGTTAATTTGTGCTGTTTGTCCCATTCTTGTTTAAAAATTTCTCTCAGACCTTCGGCTAGAATATCAGTACATGCATAGCAAATTCTGAAGTAATTCAGCTGTCCTTCGGTGTATTCTTTTGAAAGGGGCATACTTGATGGACTTCTGTTCCTTGGAACCTTTGGGAAAATAATCCTTTCTGTTAGCAAACAAGAGGCTTTTAAAGCGTTGACCTGGGCCATGTACACTCCAGACGAGCAATAATAAATAATAAAAATACGGGAAAGTAGGGGCAAACAAGAAGTTGAAGGGCAAGAAGTGCTACGAAGGTCACAGGATTTTACCGGAGGTTACCTTGCCAGCAGAGGTTTCTCTCTTGCATGGCTTTTAGCGTTTACGAAGCCGTTCGCGTCGCTTGTCAGTCGCGTAGTTAGTTTGTTTTCGCCCCGGGAGCGTATGCAAGAGAGGAACTTCTTTTCGCAGGGTAACTGGAGGTAGTCACCTACCAGAAAAAACAGCAAAAGATACTCCAACTGAATTGATTAGCGAAAAGATTATTATAATTCGAAGCAAATTTTCTTCCTTTTCATTGGCCGACAGCCTACCACGTGACCTGCAAAGACCTGCCTACAAAAAATGGTTTGCTCATGCGCAATGTCGTCCAGCTGTGTTTTGCTGCAAATAGTAATCTGTTCATGAAACCACGCTTTTCTCCTTGTAGCGATCGCTCTTGCGTTATGGCAGATCGCTTCGCTGACCACAATGACCGAATGATAAAACAATAATTAGTTGGTGGATTTCGATCCTTGACTTTGTTGGAGCTATGAGCTGTTCTTCAGACCTAATAATCAAAAGTCAAAAGAGCTCTAGCGAAAACAAGCAAATATTAACTAGAAAAGCAAAACCTATAGCGATGAAGTGCATACTGCAACTTCTTTACATTCTCATTTTCAGATAAGCTTCAATGTCAGTTGTTTACTTATTTCTTCTATATCTACCTGAGTAGCCGTGGGAAGAGCGGCATCAGAAAGTGACGTTCGTTCTTCTTTAGATTTGATGGCATCCAAATTTGAAACAGTTGGAATGTCATCAGTGATGGAGATACTTGCAAATGGTTTGACAATTCCTGAAAAAAAAACATAAAAAGTATTACCATTAGGCTGTGATTCATGACTTCCATAAAAACTTTCTGAATATGCTGTATCGTAACCTGGCTGTTGCTAGAGTTTGAATTGTTAATTTCGTATAAGAGAAAATGATAGTGATGGGTCGTAGACGCGGTGACAATGGTAGCAGTAGTAATGAAATGATCGTTGAGAATCGAGCACAACGCAAAACCTTGGCCTTCGTCACCGGTACTGAAAGCATCTGCACTAACAGCCTTACTGGTGTGAATGGCGTTAGCAATTTTCACTGCAATGCCTCCTGCATGTTACAGCCTATTTGTCAAGCTAAGGGAAAGAGAAAGCTTTACAGAGTTTTTACCGAATTAAGTGACAAATTTTGGTAAATTTTAACGTTCTTTTATCAGTACACGTAACCTTCAAAGTCAAAATTTGTTGTATCGCGCTGCGCTTTTTGCAAACTTTGAAGGAATTTTGGGTTTCCTGTTCCCTCAATCATTTGAGTTGGGCGCAAGTTACGTAAGTCGCCCACTTTCGACTCTAACAGAGATGGAGTAAACGAACGGAAAATGACTCGAGACTAAGGGGACAAACTCCCGTTTTAGACCATTTCCAAGTCTCACTGTTTAGACTACATTACTGGACGTAAAGAAAATTATTTTTTATACCCACCTTCATGCCCCAATAAGTACTTTCGATAAGCTCTGTACTCCTCTTCATTGATAGTCACAGTAAGTTGTACGGCGTCAACACCCAATTCTTTTAGAATGTCCTCTGTGACAAGGCACCGCTGTGCCACTTCTTTTAGATGGCCCGTGCAATAGTCTTCCCACAGTTCGTCGAGAATATGCAGCGAGCTACACTGCACTGTGATTATCAAGCTTCCTTTCTTGACATCAATAACTATGGTTTGGCGCACTTTTTCCATATACTCAAGAAAACCATTCAACCCCTCTGGATTTGAGGGGTCAATTGTCTGAATATACTTTTCTGCAATAAGATTCACAATCTCTTGTGAAGAGGGATATCTGTTTTGCAAGGCATTTTTCTCCCGATTAACATTTTGGGTAGGTGAAGCTCCTTCTTGTTCACAGGCCTCACAGTCAACTACGACAGCGAGATTTTCTCCTGTAAACACAAATAAATAAATAAATATATAAATAAACTTTCGCTGCAAATTTTTCTTACTGTACGCATCGTTACAATTACTGGTTACCATTTTGGGTTGATGAAGCTCCCTCTTGTTCACAGGCGTCACGATCAGTTAGAACATCGAGATTTTCTCCTGTAAACACAAATAAAAAAAGAAAGAAAGAAACGTTCACTGCAAATTTTCTTCTTCTAAGCACCGTTCCAATTAAAGAAACTTGGCATAAATCACTAATAAGAACTGATTAGAATCCAACGTAATAACGTAAAATGGCAGCTACTTTACATAATGAATTTAATTCAGTGTGCTAATCGCGGCGCTCGTGTGACTTACGTGACAAAGCATTTTATGACATCAGAGCGTTAAGATATAACCCTTCACACTTCACAGACTTTTATAGAGTAATCCAGTTCGCTTGTTTTGATTCAAAGTTGCAATAGGCACGCAATACGTGCGAAAGTAAACAAGCCAAGCGACGCGAATGTCTGTCGTGCGCTATGTCACGACACAGCATTTATCTTCGTTACATACGTCCAACAGATAACGCACGGCAAACAAATTTACAATAGAAAACAAAGTTTTGGAAAAACAAGGTACACTGAGTGAAACAAGCCATTAAATAATTTAAATTTTCCCTTTGGAAAATAATCGTCCTCACAGTACACGGTGTGAATTGTTTAGCTTATTGCCAAGAGTTTGAAAATACTTTTGCTCTCAGTTGTCGAGCGCCAAAGAATATGTCACGCAAAATTCCATGATCTCGTGCATGAGATAATTAAGGGTAACATTTAGAAATGCATAATTTTAATGCATATTTTCGGAAAGGAGGTGATTTCTTAAAATCTTATTGAGCAAAATGACCTCGTAAACAAGTTGCAATCTTTCACGGTCGAACCGTAAAAGGGGCAGCGTCCAACATCTTCACGTGCAAACCGCGTTCTATTTTTAAACCGTTGGGTTAACTACGTCGTATTCTCTCATACACGAACCACGAATGCGGCAGATTCCAAGGCTTTCACGTGCAAACTGCGTGACAATACAGCTCATCGTAAGGGCCTGATCACGAGCCGGGGTAGCAATGCGCATGAACAGTGTGTTACCCGCTGTCCTGTTTTTCGCTTGGTTGATTCGCCGGGCCGTCCGACAAGCGCGATTACTTGGAAAATTTCCGCCTCGGATCCCAGCTAACCGGGCTGGCTCGGTTGTCATACGATGGCAAAGTTGATTTTTGTTGCGTTTAACAAGGGTACCGGGTTTTCTGTAAAGCGAGCCAGCACGCTAATGTAATCAGGCCCTAAGTTCTATAGCCAGATTTTACGCCTTCCCCTGACTTCACCGATTTTTCAAAGCTCTCGAGCATACACAAAATTTCAGCCCTCCCCCCTCAACATCTTCATACCCCCTTCTCTATATTAAATGAACTTTTGGCCTAACCCATGTTAGATACAAATATACATATGTTCGATACAAATATTATCAGAATAAACAAAAAACAATCCTAAACAAAAAACTTAACAACGTTCAAAATAAGTACAAGTATGTTTTCCATTATTGATAAGACTTTTCACAACCACCACTTCATTTCAACACACTGTAACTACACTATCCCTTCATAACCAAAGTAGCACTTCCACTATTACCTCACTACAACACCTAACATCACTTTTACCTCCCAAAATAATAATTTTTTTGGTTGCTTCATATTCAATTCTACGAGAAACAAGTTTCACTGATTAACAAACTACAGCCATTACCTCACTAATTCACGTCCTGTATAACTCCACGCCTTCCACTTCACGCATCTCAACCAACCCCTAAGATATGCAACGCTACTTCACTACTCACACATCCCTAACACACATAAAAACTTCACACACGCCTAGTACATCGTAGCCCAAATGTACGCTCCCGCAGCGTCTTGTTAAGAATTGAAAAAGAAGAGTCCAATTGTTTGGCCGATTCTTAAAGGGTAAGGACAAGAAAGTTAAGTGACTGATTCCTGCTTCATAGTCGAAGTTAGGAATTACCTCATTATGTTCGAAAGAACAGTGGTACAGAGTAGCACATGTCTAAGCAATAGCCTGAGCTAGCAGAAATCTAATCAAGCAAACACAGACAAGAACAATCAACTCTCGCCATGCGGACATCCCGATATCACGGACAGCAGCTAAATCCGAGGCAAAAACAAGTTACAGACATTTGACCGATATAAACTCCGGCTATCACGGACGCTCGCTAATGAGGACACTAACTCAAGGTCCCTACAGTGTCCACAATAAAGGGAGTTGACTGATTCTACTAGAAGTCATTAAGTCTAAACTGGAGTTACACCTCTCCACAACAGGCAACAAAGGGTGTGGGTGGCACAAATCTCCAGTTGTGTTAACCCTCTAACAAGCTCAAATCCTTATGAAGATGCACCTCGAGCTGAACTGTGATCCTTCTAGAACTAGCTTATTACTGTGCCATATTCAGTGTCTTCAGTGCCGCTATACAAACCTCTCATGTCTCTGCTTAACAACCCTTCTAATGCAACCCGGTAAGTGGTACAGTACATGTCCCTGTTACGCATCTCTGTTACATGTACATGTCATGCTAAGACACCCCTGTCTGTACATTTCGAAACTTATCCCTCGCATATGTCCCTGTTATACATCCTAGATGCATGTTCTTGCGACACATCCCTCTTATGTCCCTGTGCTTATGGTTCCCTCTTACATGTCCCTACCTTGTAGATCCGCTTTTCATGTACCTCCCACAAATTTCTCCTGTGTCTCGATACGTGTGATACATGTCTCCGCTATACAATCTTACCTTGAGAGATGTTACGCATTGTTTCTATAAGCATCTGACAGTGATCCTGCCACTTGTACATCTCTGCATATTCTTCTCGAAGAACACTTGACTCCTTAAGTCGCAACCTCCGCTTTTTCCTACAAACACCTCTGATTGCATTTGCCCAGTCTTTAGGATCTTCTGATTCCACCACACAACTTGAACCATAAGGAACTTCTTTCAAAGCTTCCCCAAGACCAGAGTTCCCACTGACCAGCACAGGTAGACCAGCAGATAAAGCTTCAAGGGCGGCAAGCCCGAAGCCCTCAGTTCGTGATGGCATTATCGCAAGATCTGCTTCACAAAAAAATCCGGCTAGCTGCTCTCTGCTTTCATTGAAACAACGAACAATTAATTGGCTGCAATCAATGCCTTGCTGTAGCAACATATCCTTCACTTTCTCCTCTTCTCCAATTCGTGCACCAACAAACAAAAGATTATAGGGCTGTGGATCGTCCTTCAACTCGGCAATGGCTTTAGCAGCGATGTCATACCCCTTCAACTTAAAATCTTCCTTGTCACCACGTCCAAACACAAGAACCTTAAATGTTTTTCTTTCTTCAGTTGCTTGCCTTACATCAGCAAACTCAGAGAAGATACCTGGAGTAAGATTAAAAACATCTTGATCCTTTCCACAAGCACGAAGATAACTTGAGAAAGCGTCAGCCAGCTTAGGTCCAACAGCTACAACTTGATCAGCTTTTTCACAGAGTTTTACCTCAGCCTGGTGCTTTTTTGCACCTCTAGAAATGGCATCTGCATACGATTTGTGCATACCAAGCTCTTCAGGAGCTGTATGAACGACCTGAATCCACTTGCAAGTACGATGAAGTTTAATAAACTGCACATGCCGACCAAGAACGACCCCATGACCTATCACGCAGTCCACAGCGTGATCGTGTGGTAGACAGGACAACCAATAAGCTGGGTCATCAAAACCTGCCATTTCTTCTGCTTTAATGAGATGGACATTGTGACTTGCAGCGACTCGTTTGTCCTCTTCACTGCAATGAGGAACATAAACACTGACCTCCACACTGGGTTGTTTCGCCAACTGAATGGCCAGCTCTCGGTTGATAGTTGACAAGCCTCCTTTTGTTGACCTCCATTCACTGCTTAACAGAGTAACTCTCAACTTGTTGCTGGAAGGGTTGCTTGAACTGCTTCCTTGGCATTGCTGTGATGCAGATGCTGTGTTGGGAGGTGGCAAATGCTAATGAAAGAAATAGGGTAAATTCGATTACTTAACGCAGGAGCCCCTCGAATAGTAGTGTCCATCTCCTATGAAAGGTTTGGGTAACAGCTTAAAAAATTATTTCAGGCTATTTGGTGCTACTCTAGAGGCCCCCCTTGAATTAAACAAGAATGGAAATCTCCTCTTTCCCTTTACCCTTATCCTCTGCACGTCTTCACTTTCTTTTCCCCAACCTCTCAAGGGCCCAAAAAGGACTCTGTAAAGGAGAGAGACTTTGACGCTAAAAAAACTTAGCCAATGAGAGCTAACTAAAATTTCCTGTAGTTTCGAGTGAGATCATTAAGTGTTTAGCAGACAGATATTACTTCATTGAATGACCTTTGAATTAAGGACACGAAACTACTATCTGCAGGATCGGACCCCTTAAGGCCGATACACACGAGGGATTTTGCTCCCGGATCATGCTCCAGGGGCACGCTCCGGGAGCAAAGCTCCTCCGTGTGTACCAACGATTTCATGGGTATACTTCATCCTCGGGAGCAGAATTTCCACCCCGCAAAATGCTCCGCGATATTTAACCGGTTAAATATTTGGGAGCAGGCTCCCGGGGCAAATTGAGCGAACTTGAAAACGCCCCCTCGTGTGTACTGACACGTGCAAAATGAGCCTGGAGCATGCTCCAGGAGCAAAACCCCCCGTGTGTATCGGCCTTTAAACCCAACTGCCACATTTGATGGCGCAGACATTCCTGTAAAAACATTTAGTGTTAAAATGCGTTATGCAACTTAACAATAAGTAATGGGTTCCCCGCTGAGAATATGGGTTTCTTCATACTAGTACATGTACATGTACACTTGTATTACAGAATTTAAAACAAATTCAGTTTTACTACATACAACACATATGTTAAAACTGACACATTGTGAGATAACACTGCAGGACTCAGTCATACATTGTATTTGCAGTTTCTGTAGCAGTAAGTAGGATGTCTTCCTGTGTTATAAAAAATTACTTGAACACTTCTTGTTGACACCTTTGCAGTTGGCATCAGTGGAATTTTAGAAGCGTTTGTACGGTGTGGGCACAAATGTAAATCGTGCAAGTTAAAAGGATGTGAAATCGACAATCATTAATATTTTTATCACTATTCCACCAAGATTTGTTCATTACAGTTTGAAAATTTCAGGTAACGTTTTGTCCGTCAGAAAACATCAAGACAAGAATAATGACGGCTTCAGGAGCAAGGTTGAAAACCAGCAATAAACACGCCTTCCCCAAACGAAGATTAGCAAATAAACCTTGTCGATTTCACGTCCTAAAGGCCAACAATTTATTGGTCAAAAGTAACAGGACAAAAACTGGAGTGCTACAGTACTACAAGTAAGAAAAAAATGAGGTCAAAAATGTCTCACAAACATTTCCCCCCTTCTAAGTGACGTGACAATGACCAGGCTAGGAGCTCAAAAAAAAAAAAAAGATCATGATGATGACGAAGAAAAGGAAGATATCTTGCTATGATGTATTACCAAAGTTTTAAATGTTTGGATGCTTTTTGAAATTTTCACCGAGCAAAACTCTAATTTTCAAGGGGGAAAATTGTCCAAAAAATGCAATTTTGAGCCCAAACTCCCTGTATCTCCTCAGGCCTAGTTCAGGTTATTGTTGGAAATAAAAATCTTCATCTGAAGTACAGGCACAGGGACAAGTACATGTATTAAGGAAGGTTTTGTTCGACCATTTCCAATTTTACTCAAGCTTTCGTGACATATGTTTGAGTGCATGAAATCACAAGAAATTGATATAAAAATCATTTTGTACAAACCGTAAGATCCAAGATTTCTCAAAGATTTGGTTTGGTTCGGTTCGGTTAAGTAATGCTCGGTACAGTGCATGGAAGAACCATCCCTGCACTAAAACGTGACTTTTTCTATTGGCATATGACAAGTGTGATATAAGCGTAATACATGTATGTTATAAAGACACGTGCTAAGTTCTTAGTTGAAATGCACACTGTGGCACCGCGTACACCTATACTAACAAGACAGTACACTAAAATGATAGTATTTACAAAAGGGGCTATGACGTTAAGTTGTTATTACCTCTGTAAGCTTGGACATCACGGGATGCCTAAGAAGTAACTTGAATCACAGTCACTGCAATAGAACTATACAAAAACGATGCAGTTGTGTTAACATCAAACAAACACTGGAAATTCGCCAGGAAAAATGAAATCAAAGGATGAAGTTGGGTATAGTTGGGTATTTGAGGTGTCCAACAAGTACAGCTCATTATTATTGCTGGAAAACGTTTTTCTCATTAAAAATGGCTGGCTGATAACTTATTTTTCCACTTCAGTAGGGCCTTGAGAAATTATTATTACAATGTATCAAAATATCAAACTGCAAAATCTTTATACTTGCAAAATAAATGGACATTCTCGTGCAGAATAATGTTTTACATGAATAATGATGTACCAGCATAAACATTTTGGTACTGGCTTTGCCCTACAAATGACTGGACCTTCACATAGTTTAGATGACCATGTGGAAATGACTGTTTTGCTTGTACTACAAACAATGTATGAGCGTGGTGTGGTAAGCCAAATGAGCCATGATACATTATAAGGCGCGTATAGGAGACATGGCTTGTTTCTTGTAAGCTTATTGGAATTGTCTCGTCTTTGTCTTCACATGTACCCAAATGTTTTCAGAACCCATGTAGAGGTAGGAGACGTAAAACAGTGTCCTACCATAAATTTTTACTTGGGTTCTATGAATTACATTGAGAAGTCAAGAAAGTGCATTAATTTGACTATGACAAAAAAAATACCACCCATATACCTGGGTAAAATGTTTAAGATACGTTGTAAGACACACAAGATATAATTCTGATTTCAGTAGTTAGCTACTTGTAAATAATACTTGAGAAAATTGTTTCAGGTCTAAATTCTTCTTTACTTGAAAAGGATGGAATAGCGATAGTAACATGGGGGAAAGTGACACCCAGATCTATCAACGTTGATTAATTTTAAACATCACAAATCAGGTCTCAAAAAGACTAAAATGTGCTAAGTAAACACAGGCAAATAAATTGTAAGTTTCTAAGTCTTCCAATTTCTTATTCAGGCCATAACACGCTTTCTTCATGTACATGTACCAACACAGCTAAAAAATCACAGTCAGATACATGTATTGATATATTATCACCTGGACTAAGTCTACATTTGGCAGTAAGACCACAGAGCAAAAACAAACTGAAGAAGAGTTTGCCAAGCAGTAGATCTAGAATTGATCCTCAAAGTTGCAGCAGACGAGGCTACATACTAGATATAGACTGGAACAACTTTTGCAAAAGAAAACTTCTGTCAGCAAATTCATGAAAAGTTGGTTAAAACACATTTGGTCTAGGTGAAAACTATATATGCTAAACATGAATATTCTGTTTACCATTAAGTTTGGTTCAATCGTTTTTCATTTAATCGTTTTAACATGGTTCGTACAACTTCAGACAAACAAATTTCACAACTTTTCAAGGAGGTTTCAAGGTTCAAGGACTAAAATTTAAGCTAATGTATTTAATAAATCAACATTCTTTAACCCCCTTTGATCACCCTATTCGTTAAAACACATCATGGTGTCATATTTTACTATTTTTACTTCTTCGGCCATCATTGATCACATTATTTTATGCTACTTTCCGGAATAAGACTTTGCAAAATGACTGGCATGGGTATGACTTGCAATTGCATCTGAGATACAGAAATAGCATTTGAAATACATGTAAAGACACTGAAATAAAATAATTTTTATTGTTCAGGCACAAAAATGTTTTATACGTTTCCCGTGAGTTTTACAGGTTCTTAAAACCGAGGGTGAGCCAAATTTTCCTCAGAAAAGGGAAAAAAGGTGTCTGGCGTAGACAAGGTTGTGAATATATTTCAAGGACTTTTCAAGACCTAATAAAGAAATCAAGTACTTTTCAAGGACCTAAATTGAATTCAAGGACTTTTAAAGACGACTAGTAAAATTCAAAACCTTTTTAAGATTGTACGAACCATGGGTTTAAATTGGTAAACAACATTTTCGTGTTCCGAGTACATAATTTTCATCCAAGAGAGTGTATAATTTTTGTATCAACTTCTCCTCCAGTTAGCAGGAGAAAAGTTTTCTCAATCTCATGGTACATGAATGATACACACATGTACGTGGGTGCATGCAGAGCTGAGGTGAACTCACTAACCTAAATGCACTAGTGTACAGGTGTTACCATAACATGTTCACAGGCTCACCCATTGGAGACAGCAAGGTCACAGAAGTCAAAGAAAGCTTCTGTTCATGATAATTAACCACTGGAATTTTCATGAAGTTAAGAAAAGTGGACTAGCACTGGGGAGTATTTTATAAGGAGAAAATTGAACCACAGCATATGAAGTGTACCAAAAATTGGACTGTCAAGTTTTTTTTTTTTTTTAAACGGGGTGCTTCAAAAACGTGCAGACAGTCAAGTAAACCAAAATTATTTAAGGGGACAAAATTGAAGTGCCAGCAAATTTGAGAGAGTGACCATTGCAAGGACAAATGCTACATGTACAAATGTTTCGATACCAAAGGCAAGAAAGCCAATTAAGATTCTTCATTTAACAGCAACGCGAAACTGCAAAGAAAATTGTTCACATTTAATGGGTTTCTTTTGCGATGTTTCAGGAAATATCAACGCTGGCATGACAGATTTCACACTTTGATGAAATATTTCAGCTGGTGTTTTGGGCGCTTAATTTACCAAAAATATGCCAGATAAAGGGGAAAGAAGGAAGCGAAAAAGGGAGAGAGCTGAAGGAGAGAATTCTTCTCCCCCCGCCTCCATCTAAACCTCCTCTCCCCTACAGTGTAGCCCCTTAGGAAGGCCTGATACTCAGGCTAAAACGGGGGGCTGGATTGTACGATGGAATTTAAGGCCTAAATTTTAAAAAAGAAAAATGATCCATACCTCTAAATCTAAATTATCAGCACTGATATAAC